TTCTGGGGACACGCCGACCATGTCGGAACAAACGGCCGGCCGGCTGGGGCCTGGGCAGAGGGCACAGAGGGGCACCGTCTTATTTCTTACAGCTGCGTGTGAGTCTCTGATTATCTAAAAAGATAGATGTGTAGATAGGGGAGGTGAATTATTAAGCATAGTAAAAATAAATATTTGTCCAGACTAAAAAAAAACATATTTAGCACAACTCGAAGTGCCTGTTATCAGAACCTAGTATCTAATATTAATTGGGTCTATTCTGTTCGTGTGTCAACACAATACAGTCTTTAAACGGAGTGGCTGGCTGAGTTTGAAAACAGATCCTGCCGCTCGGGGTGCCGAGACCTGCAAACAGAGCAGCAGCCGCGACGCTCGAAGGTCAGCGTCCCGGAGGCCGTACGGCGAGTGGGTCTCTCAGAAAGTCGTACCCCACAGGCACTTACGAGCCCTCAGGATGGGACTGTTACCGTGCCTAGTCCCCCTGAAAAGCGCATCGCCTCCGAAGGGAGAGCTGTTCTGTACATAGTAAGCGCGTGTGCCGTGACGTCACCCTGGATTCGGCGATTCAGTGATCGCTCCAGAAGTCTGGGTTGTGTTCACAGTCGCTTTTTTAGGGCTGATTTGAAACTAAGCTCGTGGCCGGTCCGGGAGTGGAACGCTTCGCAGCGTAAGCCATGAAGCCATGTTTTCGTGGAGAGACTTAGAAAACCCCTTTCAAAGTGTTTTCTTTGCAGGGCTCCCTCCGCTCGGCAGCCAGACCGTCCCCCCGGCTCTGTCTCGTCACAGGCCCTTCCTGCCCACGGACCCGTTTCGGCTCTGCCCACCAGCGCCGGGAGCTCGCGGGCGGACGGGGCAGGCTGCGGCTTGCCGCGGTCCTGGACACTTTTCCACCGGCGGTCGGCCCCGCTCGGCAGATCCTTCACCGAGACCTGCTCCTAACGATCCCACCACGGTCATTTGCCCCTCACCACCCCTCCCGTCTTTCTAGACATTCACCCTCCCCCGGAAACTCCCAGCCACGTCAGTGCCCTGTCTCGCTTCCAGCGAGTGGCCTCGACTTTGTTCCCTGGGAGCAGGAGGCGGTTGTCCCTGCAGAGCTGCCCACGGCCGATGCCTGCCACCGCGTCAGCCCGGACCTCACCCCCGACGCGGATGCACCATGCGTGGCAACATCCCTCCCGTTCTCCCAGTTCCGCCCTCTGGCATTTTCCTCTCGGGCTACACGTGTGCCTACGTCTTCCCCAGCCTACTCCTGTCCACATGCCCTTCCCTGGCTTCGTCAGCTCTGAAGCTACGTCCCACCTTCCTCCTCGGCCTCACCCCTCAGCCTCATATAGGCCAGCTTCCATCCCTACTTCACCAAAATTGTGGTAAATTCACCTGCTACTAAATTCCCAAATCTCAGTTCTGATTTTCCTTATTCTTCTGAAACATTTGACAACACTGCCAAGCTCTTACTTCTTGAAGTTCTCATTCCCTAGGTTTCCAGAACGCTCTTTTCTTGTTATTCAGACCATTCCTTTATTACTGGCTACCCCTCCTCTGACCGTTAGGGTCTCCCTCTTTGGTCCTCTTCTCTTCTTCATCCGTGTGCTTTCCATCTGTGATCCTCATCCACCTCCATGCTTTGGATTCGGGTTTCAATTATCTGCTATGAGTCAATAATTCCAGATCTCTATCTTTAATCCTAACTTCTCTCCTGACTTCCATATCCCTTTTCCCAAATTTATTGGAAACCTGCTGCTTCTCGCATATGCCGAAACTCAGCTAATGGCGTCACTACACACAGGATCCCCCGTGCCGGAAACTCTGAAGCTAGAGAGCGGTCCTCAACTCTCCCGTAACCTTCGCATCTCGTGCGTCACAGAGACAGGAGGCCTCTTCTGCTCCTAAGTGGGTCTCAAATCCGCCCCTTCCTCTCTATCCTCAAAGTCTCCCTTTAGCTTAGGCCCAGAATTTCTCTTCTGGGCGAGGACGGTGGCATCTCCTTCCTTCTGCTCCTACATGCAGAGAGGTGACCGTACAGCCTGCTATGTCGCAGACATCACAGTAGATCTTGGTAGCCCGACTAGTGTGGTGTGGGTGGAGAGGCAGTGAGAATCATGACTGGACCAAAAATAACATAGGCAGAGGCTATTTTATGTTGTGAAAAATCACACAGATTTCATGGATGAAAAGGTGACTAAGCTACTCCTGTGTATAGGCTAAAAGAGAAATTTTAAAATGCAAAGCAAACGATACTGACGGCTCCTTTCAAAGATCTTCTGCACCATCCTTCACTTTGGTCCTGCAGATACTGCGGCAAATCCCAGTATCGAGTGATTGTGCCTTACCCCGATCTTCAGGACAAGTATGTCCCAGGAAATAAATGTTTCCTGTGTTTATTACGGCATGATACTTCTCACCCCTAATTTTCAAGAAAGGGAATTTGCGTTCCCGATTTCGTTTCTCATGCATGCATTGGTATCAAAAAACAGTTCAGATTTTGTTTTTTTCCCCCATTTTTAAGTAAACCCAAATGTTTTCAATGGATTCAGAAGGTCTTGAAATATTTAACCGATTTGTGTAATTGTATTAAATGAAATTTCTTGCCATTTCTTATGTCCTGTATTATATAACTTTGTCTCCTGTTCTTCCATGCCCTCCCTCATGTCCCTCTACCCAGGATCCCGGCGTCTTGTCTGACTCCAAATTCACCGTTAGGATTCAGTTCAATGTACCTCCTGTAAGTCATCTTCTCTGGGCTTTGTGTCCTGTGCACCCACGGCCCTGCACTTCACTACTAAACTGAGTTATTTCTATGTGTATCTTTCCCATCGACCTTTGGAGCACAAGGAGTGTGTTAGTGTTCTCTATAAACTTCAGATCTAGCACAATTTCTAGCATATAAACAGCACTTAATAAATCGCTAAAGGAATGAATGGAATTAAATACATCACAGAATCTGACTGCCAATGGTGAACGATTGATAAGAAGTCAACTGAAGCCAAAATATAGACAGTAATTGTAACTGAATGCCTGACAAATGCCATTTCATGGAATTTCTAATCTTCAAAATGGATATATAACCCACATATTGTAAAATTCACCCTTTTTAAAGTTGAGTCATTTTTTAGTATATTCAGAGTTTTGTGACCATGTCAGTAATTCGATAATACTTTTATCACCCCAGAAAGAAACCCTGTACCCATTAGCAACCACTCCTTATTCCCCCCTCCTCTCAGCCCCTGGCAACCACTAATCTACTGCCTTTTTCTGTGGATTTGCCTAGTCTGGACATTTCACGTATGTGGGATCATGTAACGTGTGGCCTTTTGTTTCTGGCTTCTTAGCAGATGTTTTCAAGGTTCACCTGTGTTGTAGTATGTATCAAAACTTCACTCCTTTCTGTGGCTGAAAAATATGCCACCGTGTGGATATACCACTTTTTTTTTTTTTTTGAGACAGGGTCTCACTCTCTCACCCTGGGTAGACTGCAGTGGTGTCACCATAACTCACAGCAGCCTCAGACTCCTGGGCTCCAGGGATCCTCCTGCCTCAGCCTCCTGAGCAGCTGGGACTACAGGCACGCACTATCACACCCAGCTAATTTTTTCTATTTTTAGTAGAGACGGGGTCTCGCTCTTGCTCAGGCTGGTCTCGAACCCCTGAGCTCAAGCCATCCTTCTGCCTTGGCCTCCCAGAGTGCCAGGATTACAGGCATGAGCGACCTCGCAGTCTTTTTATTGTTGAGTTGTAAGAGCTCTTTATATCTTCTGGATACTCAATTTTAATTTTCTTAATCCTCACAATCAGCCTGCTGAAAAGTGGGGATCTCTCTCATTTATAGCCTTAAGAGACTAGAGCCTAGAGAGTTTTAGTTAGGGGTGTAATTGGATCTATCGTGTGATCTATCCGTGATTCTCCAAAGCCTGTGCTCTTTGTTATTCTGCTTCAGACAAGTTTTAACTGATGGTGTGGTTTAGAGAGGCCACTCCTGGGGGTGGTTAATATGAAGATGAATGTCATTGGAGTTGAGGCCAGCATGTTAGAAACATTACCAACTGACTGCTAAAGTCGTTGATGGTAGACCTCAGTCATATATAAAACAAGTTGGATTGTATGATATTTAAGGTTCCTTCTTACTCCAAAATTCTCTGATGTAATAAGCCTTTTTGTTCTGCCAGCAACAAAAAAGGGAACAGTCATGAAAAGCCAATTCCCTAAGTATTAGGATAAAAGGAAGAACCGTCCACTTACGTAAATCTCTCGAAGGCCTAGGACTGGGGCCCTCCGGGGGTATCTGTCCCAACTTATCCATGAAGAAAAATGGATCTGCTATCACAGGTAACATCTCCTGCTGGCAGTATAATTACTGCTTTTCTCAAAAAAAAATATGAAAGCCTGAGTTCTTTCCTATGCTCTGGGCAAACCAGAATGATGCCACGCTAAGCCAAGACCAGCTTGCTTCCCAGAGGCTGCCCAGCTACACGATTACTTTGCTGCAAATGCAGTGACCTGCCGCTAACGGATGAAGCGTTAGTGCCGTCACTTTTGTGTCACGCCACCCTTGTTTTCTCCAAGAGCAGATGATTCCAAAGGAACCATTCAGAAAAACCTGCCTACTGCAGTGTGCACGGAACAAGGAAGTAAGTGTAGATGAACAGGCCATTAGCAAAATATGAACATGGTATTAGTAAGGGATTATAGAAAACTTGAATGGAATATTTCCAATTACATATTTTATTGAAAGTTGTTAGAATATATACACTGTTTTAAAAAATGCCACGTCATTGATAAAATGTTAAACTGTTCATACAAAATCATTTCGATTTCACTCGCTCTTGCCAAGTGGCACCTTTGCTGTTCCAGGTGAGCGAGCTGTTGAAGAGTAGGGTCTCTAGCGCCCTCTGGCGAAGCTTTACGAGACTGTCCAGCCAGGTGGTTCAGGACGCGCTCAGGACGGAGGAAGGTCCCTTGCGTGATTACAGCCCGCTGAACCTCGCAGGTTGGGAAGTGCTGCCTTTGCCCTCTGCTTAGGAGAAAGGCCGCCTCGGCGAGCGCCCTCTCTTTACGGAAAGTGTCCTTTCCGCTGACACTCAGCCAAGCTCACAGCAAAATACTTTCTTCCTAAGTTTTCATCATCATTGTCTTCTTAAAAAAAACCAAAAACCTGTTAATATAAACGGGAGAAATACTGAAAGCCTCTAAGTCATTCAGGCCCAGGCGAGCTAACCGGACAGCAGAAATCGTAAGTGACGCGTGGCGTGCGAGGACAGCTTTCTCGGCGGTCCTTGACTCTTCGCTCTGTCTTCGCAAGGATGGATCCCACCACTCTAGGCAACTCCGGGGCTAAACTTTCCGGGAGATGTCATTTTTCTCGGATTCCAGGAAGCGGACCTCTTCCAAACGGGGGCCGTTTCCAAGCGGAGGCGTCAGCAGAGTCTGAGTTCGTTCTCCAGACCGAACACCTTGGACTTGAGGCTCTTCAGTTCTCCTTGCATCTTATGTGCCCGTCTGTTGCTGTCCCGGACCTCGCAAAGAATGGCGAGATCCTGGTTTGCCCGGGCATTAACCGTTGCCTGGGGGTTTGGAAAAAAGAAGAGGAAATGGTTACTGCATACATCAGGGGAGAACCAGTTAGCGAGACCAGGCTACGCTGGCTCCTTTATGGGCTTCTGAGCACGTAGGATAAACGCAATCCCTAGTTTGTTCGATGACTGACAGAAGAAGGAAGATGTGGAATTGAGGCAGAAAAGGCACGACGCCTTTCTCCCCACACAGTAGGGACGAAGCCTGAGGCAGAGATCAAGACACAACTAAGACTGGGTAAAAAGAAGAGACCGATGTAAACATTATGTGGGGTGAAAAGTATCTCTGCTCTTCATAACTAACCTGTTTGGAGCACAGCCGTCACTTAAGGTCTAACATCTCTAAGAAGGCTCTTGAAGCAACCTGATTTCTAGAATGCTGTGTCTGACCGGGAAAAATTACTTATCACTGACTGCTTTCCCCAATTGTAAAATAGACATAACCGCTTTAATCTACTTCTCAGCTGGGAGCGATGACAATTTCTGCTAAGTTTAGCTTCGATGGAAGTGTTAATGACGGAGTCACTCAATCACTTCAGTCTATTTTTGTTTCCTTCTAGTGTGTGCTTGTTGGACTGATTTTCAGGGAGGCTCGCAGGATGGTGGTCACTATCGTCTGCCGCCAGGGACGCGGCACACCCTTCTTCTGGGGGGCCCTCCTGACCACGGTTCCTCAGCTCCGCCTCTCTTCTCCCTTGTGGTAATTCAGGACCGGCGATTACCTTATAGAGCGTTTGCTCCAGGTCTTTCAGTTTCTGTCGGAGGACCTTAATGTCTGTCTTAAAGCCTTCTACTTCCAGGATGCGTCGATGCTCCAAGGCCTCGTAGCGTTTTGTCATTACCTGTAAACGCTTCCCCATCTTGTTAGTGCGGTCCTGCAATGCGGAGAAAGGGAAGGCATTTACGAGGATGAGGGCAGCGTTCCCCTGAGCCATCTGCACATCCTGCTCCATCGTAAGTGGCAGAGAATTTTGTACCTTAAAGATCTCTCTCCTCATCCCCTCTTCCTCACGAATTCGGGCAAGTTCTTCTTCCAGGGAAATGCACTGCTCTTGATACATGTTGGACAGCTTTTTCTCTTGTATTAACTTCTCCTTTAGGGACTTCAGGTCAAAGGGACAGAAAATATTAATACTCAGTTATACAACTTAGGTAATTCATACAGCACTTAGGAAGAAAGAAAGAAAAGAAAAGAAAGGATTTCCAGAATTTCAAAATGAGTTAAGGAACGAGATGACGAGGAATTCTGAAAAACATCAGAAAATCTCCCACTTTTAGACTATTCTCTTAAGCCCTTTTTCTAAAGTGCACATAGTAGAAATTCTTTAGAGTAAAACAAATATTTTTGGCTCTGGGAAGAGTCCAGTAACAAAGCTCAGAATCTGTTCCAAGTAAGACGTTACAGTATGTTTTGGGCTACATTTCTGAAGCTTTTTAAAAAGGGAGAAATATTAACAACAATAACTGTTATACATGCTCCGCTGAGCAGCCAAAATGATCCTTTAAAAACCTCAATGAGATCGTGCCGCCTCCCTGCGCACGATCCCTCACACACACGACGATGTTCAGAGCTGAGCTCACGTGCTCCCCACGACCTCTAGGCCTCCACGATGGCCACTGCCTCCCGCCACCTTCTCACACGCCACTTCCTCCTTGCTTATTCCTCTCCAGCCGCAAACACAGCCTTCCTTTTCCTTGAACGTACCCCAGGGCCTTTAAACTTGCTCTTCCCCAGGTCTGTTTGGCGAGCTTAGTACCAGACGTAAGAGAGTATCCCGTGCTCCCCTTCTAAAGGAGGCATCCAGCAATTACATATAATCTGCATATAATTCCTTTATTGCCTAAAGCCACTTTTTATAATCTATGATTTTCTTAGGTATTTGTTGTTTCTGGTTTTTCTCACCCCTTAACATATAAACACCACGAGGGCGGACCCAGTCTAGATTATTTCTGCTGCAGCTCCGGAGCTCACCTCAGAGTAGGAGTATAATAAATATTTGTTGAATGAATGTATGAATCGACAGTCTAGTATTTTAAATCCCCAAATATTATGATGATCAGCTATCTTTGAAACCTATTTCTTGAGGCTGCTGCTATAACAGCTTCCTGGACTGAATGGATCTTATAAGACAATTCATAGGTTCTTTGGAATTCTTTCAACTCTTCCAGAAAAATAAACCGTGTCTGTAAGATAGATATAAGGACGTTACCTTAATATATTCGTTTTGGGTATGATGACTCTCATGCATAACTGGCAAAACTTTTCCAATTTTATCTTCTTTCCTCTTACGCTGTGCCCTACATTGCTTAATCTTTGACATCAAATGATCCTTTTCAAGCATCCATGACTTCTCTTTATTTTGGTTTTCAAATTTGAGCTGCAAAAAGTCTTTGGTGCTCTCATAGAGCAGTTCTTGGGTGTAGTGGAGACTACAAAAGAAAGTACAAGTGCGGACATGAGGATGCTTACACAGCACATCTGAAATAAAGGGTTATTCCAAAATGGAAGATACAGGTTCTTTTAAAATTGTACCATATATGAGTTCTGTGAAATATTATTAGCAGTTTTAAAAATGAAGTTAGTCTGATTACTGGCGATCTTACATGTTTTACTGGGCAAAGTGAAATGTAACCGCTCATGCTCACTGATTCATAGACTGGCCTTTATAAATATCCTCCTGAGTACTAATTTCAGGTTACATGATTAGAAAGACTGCAGAAATACTTACACATAGCCTGCATAAGTACAGACTATTCCCAGGAATAATACAAAACAGAACCAAATCATGGAGTTCTGACTGAGGGTTAGTTCTAAAATACCAAAAACAGCTTTGCTTTTATTTATGCCGTGCTCCAAGTGTAACTGCCCTATATCAAAATCTTGTCCTTCTTTTCAAGATCAACCTCCTCTGTAAAGTCATCTCATCAATTTTAGCCCATTTTAATATCTCCGCTACCTGAAACTCCGTATCGGTTTTAATACGTATCACTGTCTCGTGATCTAGCACTTGCTTATACTATGTCATATTTTAACTGTCAACATGCATTTTTTTCCCAGCCTGAGTGAAAGCATGCATCTTATTTATCATTTATTTTTGCCCCACTGCCACCAGATTATCAAGGACAATACCAACTACTGAATATACACAAGGCACTAAATAGATTCCCGATGACTATTTCTTGAGATTTAGGAATAGACAAATGATGTTTCCATCAACACCTAGAAAAATACTGTATCGAATGCTCTGCTTGCAAGAGTATTAAATACCATTGAGCAAGCACTATAGTTTTCCACTGAACAAATAATGTCAGATCCACTTAGTTTTCTTTATAAGTAACAGGGAACATAGAGGAAGGGAAAACAATAGCATCGTGCCAGGCACAAAGTAGAGTAAATGTCGCCAGCTGAATATATATATATTTAGTCAGGGGTCTGTGTGTGCGTGTGCGTGTGTGTGTGTGTGCGCGCGTGCGTGTGTGTGTGTGTGCGCGTGCGTGTGGAGAGATTGATTCGGTTACCACAAGGATCTCTCCTGCTTTCAATGAGTTATTTTATTCTGTCTTACATTATGTTCTCAATTACAAACTGGGAGAGTATGGTCTTGTTAAAATACAAATGGTTGGAAAGTGACACCCACAGGGCAGCATTAATGGCCTTGGATTTCATGTCATTCAATATCCTTACGATGATCTATCTAACTGAAGGAACAGATCATGTACTCAGATATGCAGAGAATGACAAATGAGTAAGGTTATTACTATTCTGGAAAACAGATATAAAATTACAAATTACTGTGACAATTTAAAAATATCAATCCCTTAGAAAGAAAACCCAGTGAAAAGTCAAGATGTTATGTCTAATTACAAAAATACCAAAAATAAAAACGAAGATGGAGAAGTACTGGCCAATGCAAACACATCGCACTATGCTAAAAGAAACAGCCTGTGTGGGCCAGGACATACTTCCCCTCCTGAACTGATCAGAGATTCTAATCTGAGTATCATGCCCAGTTTTAATCATCATACTTTAAAATGGAGGAAGACACACTAGAAAAGTTTGAAAAAATAAAAAAATGATAAAAGAATAAAGAATATGAAAAAATATTTTAAAATTTGGGATGTTTAATGCAGAAAAGACACGGCAAGGTGCAACTTGCTAAGCACCGTTCAGTGTTAAACGGACATTTACTGTGCGCCTGCTGTGCGCACAGGTCGGGGCAGACCCGTACAGCAAGACCCTGTGACCAAAGACACGATTACAGCACGTGGTGAGCAGTGTCACTGTGGAGGCGCACTGGTCACTCTGGGAACGGGAGGCGCGAGGTGAGCCGCAGCGGAGGGGAGGGCGAGGCTGAAAGGCTGACGCGGTGTCAGGCGATGATGTTCCTGACGGCTCACGCTAAGGGGTCAGGACTTAATCATGAGGTAAATGGAAAGCTACCAAGCGTTTTTAGGCAGTTGATGACTCCTAATGGAAGAACTAATTCACAGTGGTGAGGAAGACAGTGGAATACAAAGGGACCGGTGACAGCAAGAACAGATTGTTGCAACTTAGAGAAACAGAGCTTGAATCAATGTGGGAGAATAAGAGGGCAGAGAATGGATTTGGGAGGCTTCTCAGGCTTACAATCCAAAGGATTTGGAATTAAGGAATAAGAGAGGTAGGAGTTGAGGATGATCCTAAAGTTTCAAGCTTGGGAAACCGAATGGATGAGATATGATACCATGAAACTAAATGGGGAGAGAATGAAGTAGTAGGTTGAGATCGGGGAAGGGAGTATCTGTTGGGAGGGACGGTTTGGTTTCAGCAACCGTAAATTTGAGGCGTTCAAACGTAATCAATTGAGGATGTCTTGATGGCGCAGGTCTGGCCACTGGAAACAGACAAAGGGCTGAGGATGGTTGGACGGGTGCTGCGGAAATCAAGGGAGATGAATTTCAAGGAGGGACACCAGATACGCAGAGAGATACCAACGACAATAAGGACTGGAAAGAGATAACCGGTCTCAGAAATCAAGAAGGCAGTGATGACCTTAGAAAGGGCATGTTTAGTAACATGGTGGGGATGAAATCAGACTGCAGAAAGGTGAAGAAAGGCAAGCAGGTAGGAACAAAAACCACGAGTATAGAGAGTTTGCAGGTTTTTTTGTACAGGTACGTAAAGTCATGTTTTCCGTATTAAGGGGCCAAACAAAAAAAAAGGGCCCTATTACATTGAGTCAGATGGATGTAACACTGTTTCTTAACCCCTAGAAACAAGCTCAAACACGGAAACGGTTAAAAGGAGTGTGTGGAATACTCGCCAGCTCTTCAGGAAGAGACTTAACTGCGTACCTGGAAAGCCCGGACACTCACCCGCCTAGAAGCAGGGGTGTCTGACCAAGACAGGTTTTCAAGGTTCCTTTCAGTTCTATGATCCTATGCTGCTGAAGCACAGAACTAGCCATTCGGAAAAATACAACACCTTCAGGTACAGCTTTCTGGCCACTCACCTTTTGGTTAGCTCTTTGATTTTGTCCTGATTTCTCTGGTGCTGAACTTGTATTTCCTCAGTGCGAATCTGTCTGTCCTCCATGAGTCCTTCGACTTGTTCTCTCGAGAGCCGGGTCTGCTCCTCCAGCTGAGCCTGCAGTGCTTCCACCTGGACAGGCCGGCAGGGGTGAGGCAGCCACTCCTGCCTCCACTCCCTTCATTCTGCTCAAAGGGAGCCTTTCTCCAGAAAAATTACAAAACAAACAAGGCCGGGCGCGGTGGCTCACGCCTGTAATCCTAGCTTTCTGGGAGGCCGAGGTGGTTGGATTGTTTGAGCTCAGGAGTTCGAGACCAGCCCGAGCAAGAGCGAGACCCCGTCTCTACTAAAATTAGAAAGAAATTAGCTGGACAACTAAAAAAATATATAGAAAAAATTAGCCGGGCATGGTGGCGCATGCCTGTAGTCCCAGCCACTCGGGAGGCTGAGGCAGGAGGATCGCTTGAGCCCAGGAGTTTGAGGTTGCTGTGAGCTAGGCTGACGCCACGGCACTCTAGCCCAGGGAACAGAGCAAGACTCTGTCTCAAAAAAAAAAAAACAGAAAACAAACAAACAAACAAAAACTCCAACCACACAGTAGCAAATAGTAGAAAAATTTCAACCCTAATCCTCTTAAAGTCCTATAAATGGGGTCAGGCTACACAAGAGTAGACTCTTCGTTCACACTAAGCCCAGGATCCACATCACACAAGGAAAGCTACAAAATTTGGTTTCTTCTATCCTATGACTTTGCATTTTCACTGTCTCCCTTTTGGACTTTTAGGACTTTCTCCCTTTTGAGACACCCTGGTTGCATAGCAACACAATGACTCTTTTCTCAGTTTTTGGTTTCAAAACATAGAGCAAAATGAATGTAAAGTTTTTCTGAGTCTGGCTGTCATGACTCTACATAGAGATATTGGCCAAAGGTAGAAACTGTCATTTAAATCAATGGGGCCCCATCCCATAAGGACGGGAACTTTAAGGAACTAGATGAAAAATCATGGTTCCAAATGCCATACAGTTACCAGGTGGTTAGGGAATAATTCATTACTTTGCTAGCTTTAGAACCCATGCACCAAGTAAATGCATACACCCCCAAATGTCAATCGTCAGCACGGATAAGTTTCCCTGTGTAAGACTCTGTGTAACCCCCAGGCCAATCACAAAGTGAATCCTTACTTTATTATATGATGTTTTGTTGGGTAGAGCTTAGCATATTGAATCGAAGGTTCAGAGTAGCACTTCTAGAATGTTCAAATAGAGAATGGTGGTTTTAAAATATAAGCTCTTGGAAATTAGGAGCAAACTTAATTTTCTTAATGCGTGTGCAAGGAGATACTTATGAGACTGAAGGTATGTTACAGAACTCTAAACTTGTGGTTAGAAACCATCTTCGTCTGCCAAAACAAATTTTTTACCTGTAGGATGAGTGTCTGTACGTCTCTTTGGTAATGCTCAGAACTTTCTTCCCTCTCTTTCATTGCTGGTCTTCTTTTGCTTACTTTAGGATCTAAAATAAAAAACAAAAATTCATCAGGAAGACTT